GTTTCCTGACAGTTCTGGCGGCCAGTCTTAATTTGTTTAGCCAGAAGCATTTGCCGGAAAAACTAGTGCCGGTAGCAACAAAAACTACGGGGAACTATGGGAAAAACGCATCTTCGCATGGGCAGCCTGTGCATTGGCCAGTTATTTTTTCTGTACCTAGCTGCTTGACTTTTTCTGCTTTACTAACTGTTGGCTCGTACCATCCAAGCTTAGCCACGCAAAATGAGACACTGTCTTCTCGACATGTTTAGAGTTGCCATACTTCATGCTCAGCTGTGCCGCAACACTGCCTAGTCCGCTCCTGCTCTCACATTGCGGCGAGGTCCATCAATCGCAATTTATATTTTCAGTCAAGATCGTGATATATATAAATCCTGACCAACTTAAAAAAAATGTGGCATTAATACATGCGTATATATATGTGCATACAACACATATATATATATATATATATATACATATATATACATGTGTATATGTACATATATGTATATATACATATATACTACTATAATATATTACGTGGTGAGAATGGCTTACTTTTGTTGTTAATAATTTCTGGATTGATGTAATGTACGTTTAAAATCAAGCGCTCCTGCACTTTCTGATTGATTGTGGTTCTTTCGGGTTTACGACTTTTTGTGAAGCTTTCCAGGAAATCTTCATGCTTACATAAAGATGTTGCATGAACGAGTGATGTCGGCAATGGAGAATTTAAAAGGGTCGCAATTGGCGGCGAGTTCAACCGGCGACACTCGGATATACCCGCTAATACAAATGGGCATTTTGTCAATCAATCAGGAATTTGAATATTTAACCAATATGTTATCGGCGCAGGTAAAATTATTTTCTATTTACTGTATCTTTTTTTTGCACTTGTTTGTGGAGTACGCGGGTAAGTGAGAGGATGCCAAAGTAGTGTGCGCGGAATGCAAGCCCAATCTGTGCCAAATAAACGAGCGATTTTTGTTGGCCTGTAGCACTGCTGTCAATTGCAACACGGAAGTAACGATGCAGGCTGTCTGTGTTCTTGATCAGATTACATCCTGCTGGAATTTAGTGCATCTTGCGACCATGCAGCAAGAGACAGCCGTTGCATATTCAACGTACAAGACAAGACATGAGTCTGACGTATGTGCGTTTTGGTTACTGTCTGTTTGTGTATGTTTGTGTGTGTGTGTGTATGTTTGTATATATACATATATACATGTATATATATGTACATATATATATGTATATGTATATATCTACACATGTATATACATATGTACATTTATGTGCATATATATACATACATATATATATGTATATATATACATATATATATACATATATATACATATATATATACACATATATATACATATATATATATATATACTTCCACTCAAGTTAACAGTGCTGAGTTATTTCCAAAAGCGAAATCTGTTTTTTGAGCTGCTGTCAGGTTTCAGGATCAGCGGTTATCATTAACAATGTCATCGGGCTATTTCAATTTCACCGATCATTATGCAGAGCTGATAAAAAGTCAGAGCTGCTACGACATGACTATTGTTTACGCGTCTCCGCAGGTCAGAATTCGTGCTGGTTTAAAAATCACCCTGCGCTTTCGCGTATTTTTTGTTTTCTGCATTCGTTTTGAAAACCGTTCTTGCCGGTGCAGTGATACGTAGCCCATCGCTGCCAAATCCGCAATTGCTGGTAGAGAACTAACACCAGCGTTCTAACACATATTTCACTTGCTAGTTCAAAAATTCTGTGATTTTGGAGGGTATCAGTAGCGTTGGTAGCCTTCACAGCTACTATTTGCCGTTACTTAGATCTTTTCATTTGGCGGCATGACGAATGCTTTTCGGTCCTTTTGCAGAGTGTAGGAAGGGAGCAAGGGGACTGTGGGTGGTTAGTCTGCCGTAGTTTTCTGGTTTGTGCTGACTGATGTTTTGCTCAATGTTTTATTTCACTCGTATTTTAAGTTAACTCTATCTTTGTAGGTGTGAGAGATTTGTTTATTCAGGCGAATGGGTTTCACAAAGCGTCTGGTCTATCCGGTTTCATACCGCAAATGTATGTGTATATATCTCATCTTTTCTTCAAAACTTCTCGACCTGAAGTTCGGCTATTTGAATACAGCAGGCTTGGTTGGTCCTATCATGCGAAAGGCCTGTGGATTAACTGCAGGCAGTCTTTGTTCTCAGCCACTCTCATTGGGTCTTCCAATTTCGGTAATTTCTGGTTTTAGCGTTTAGTCGTTTGAAGTTGGCGTTTTTATAGCGAAAAATGGAGATTGCTGAACATGAAGAGCCAGGAAGTGATGCTTCCGCGCGGGCAGGCCTTACTGGCTTTTGCTTAAAAATCGATCTTTATAATTTTGTGGGCAGTTGCATGGAAGAAGTTTTTGGCTACATGTGGCTATGAGAGGTGTATTTGATCACTGCAACATTTCATTTTACTGATATGATATATTCAGTGACGTTATTCAGTGATCATATTGACAAGTAAATTAGAAAACATGGAAGTTTCCCTGACTGGCTTCATCTAGCATAATTTGTCTTTTGTGTACGCCCGAGAGAGGCGCGAAATTTCACAGAAAGTACTCATTTAGAGAGCGTTGTTTTGTGATGGGCAGACGTTTGTTGCAGGCCATCGATCAGTACATCGTGATTTGGAGGCGCAGTTTCTCATCGTAACTAGTAACGAGCGACTCAGGAAGAGGTTAGAAGAGGTGAGTGCTACTTCAGCCAGACATTTGACACTGTTGTCGAAGATTTAAAAATTAAGCTAGATGGAAATTTAGTACAGATAAGCGTCACTTTTAATTAATAGATATTCGCTGGTGAGGTGGTATCTCTGTGACTTTTTATTAGTGTTTTTTTCTTTTTTTGCTGAACATACATTCAGCTTGCTTTATCTTAAAGTGGAGTGATCAGCAGCCAGCTAGCCCTCGAAACGATTACTACTTACACCCTCTGAGTTACTTCAAAAGGGGGAAGTGCTGTTTGTTTTGTTTTAAATATGCTGTTATTAGGAGCGGTCACAAATGTTGGAATATGCTACGAAAGTGGATGCGACGACTTTTATGCGGCGCGACCATTTCGTGCCGTTTTGGATTCGTCTAATATCGCGATTCATTCGGAATTATTTTTAAGCCGAAGCGTTCTGGTGCTCCCAGTCTTGTCGCTCCGCAAGTGCAACTAGTTTACTGCTTCGCCTGTATTGTAGCTATGGAGTAGTGGAATTAATTCATTGATGACTTAGTCAGGTGCTCTCTAGGTCAAATTCAAGTCAGGTGTTTGCTACTTCTTCCAGCGAAATGCAGCTTTAGCTCATTTCGGTACCCTTTTTATGCGTTTTGTGCTGCAACAGTTGCACAAAATGCATATTGTCGAGACCCCGTGTGTGTGTGTGTGTTTGTATGTGTTTGTATGTATGTATGTTCCGAGTGCATTTTACCCGAAGGTTTCAACTCGGGAACCGGAGAAGCTAGGAAGCTGAAATTTTAGTAAAGTGTTTACCACCCACATGGGGCCCAAAAAACTTAAATACAGTCTTCATGTGCTCCCAGGTACTACGTACGAGCTTGTGAAAATTTTGGCGAGGAGAATTATTATCTCAGGAATTATGAAACCTGAAAATCTGAAAGTTTGATAAAATTTTCCCTGCCCACATGCGGCCCCTCATATTTAAGTTCAGCTTCCACGCGCCCGTGGGTAACGCGTACGCCCAGTGAAAGTCTTGGCTGGGAAAATTATCTCGAGAACCAGGAAAGCTGGGAAACTGAAATGTCAAAGTAATGTTCCTTGCCTCCCTACGACCCAGCAGGTTTAAACTAAACCC